TAACAATTTATTGTTATGAATATCACTTTAAAAAATATAATTATTCTTTCTAGAAAACCAATAAAGTATTTTAAGGCATTATAGTATGGACATCTAAATCAATGTACAAAAAAACTACTAATCGTAGAACTGCAAACGCAGTATAAAGGAAAAGAAATACAAAAATCGATTTCTGTATAAGGATAAGGACAAGGATATTTCATTCAATAAAATTGTAATTTCAAAATGCTGTGCTGAAAAGGAACTTTATAAACTTAATCCATGACGCAGTGTGTTGCAGTCACACACAATAGCTTTTACGGCACTTCCGGTTACGGTAGAATAAATCTCACGTGATTTTATTCATTCAGACTGACTTATATATAAATGTGGACTATAAATAGATCATTTCTCTGAACGGAATTTATTTAAATCTTGGGTGTATTACAATTTATAAAAAACATACTAATGTAGTAAAATTTTTTAAAATTAAGTTTCCTAGTATAAAAGGAATGAATCCATAATAATTTTAATTTTATTAAAAACTCCTTTTTAAACTAAACTGCATTCATTTCTAACAACCTGTATTTGCTACGAGAGACTTCTTACTTTATCATTCAAATATTCAAAGCATTAGCAGTTGTTTTTTTAATATTGATTTAAAACTATGTTAGGAGCACGTCCGGAACATTTCTTCTTGTTATTACAAAACTTTTAACTAAAAACCGTTACAAGTTTTGTACACATAGTGTGGAACTTTTATGGGTCTTATTTGCTACGAACAACTTAACATGAGCTTAGAGATGTTAAACGTTATTTTTATTGTTATGAAACTTTTTTCTAAGAACTTCTAGTAGATTTTCCTGTCTGGAGCACGATTTTATATGTATTAATATTATTCAGAGTACCGTTTTTTTATTTACTAAAAGAGTAATCATCTCCTTTTTAAACGTTATTTTTTTTAATAATAATACTCTCTACTCCCCCTGCCATTGTGTCCAGGGACGTTTTTCTATCTCTTACATTTTTACTAAAAAGATACATAAATGATTTACTCATTCGTGTTACGCGTCTCGCGAGAGACGGCTACATTGGTATTATTATTATTATTTACAATATTCATGGGCGAGCCAGTGCGCAATTGCTTGCGAGACCCCTTCTTTCATTTTTGTTTGCATCCTTCAGATATTTAATATATTTTTCGCAGAACCGTTCCGCGTAACGCGAAACGAAAGTTACTTTAAATGGTTCTTATAAACGGCTGCTAGCGAAATATATGTACTGTAAACTGAATTTATAAACTGTACTATATATAGTGTATGATAAAATTTGATTCATATAATACATAAAGTTCAATATTATATGAATTTTATTTAGGTAGCATAGACTATACAACAACACGTAGATATGAAACCAAGAGGTTGCTAATATTTTTAAATGGCTTTTAGTTATCTAATTTATTTTACAAATGAACTTCTACCAATGCAGCGTTTTTTTAAATACATCCTATATACTTTAACGTAGCTTTATATTTCTTAATAAGATGAATATTAATAAATAAAAATATGGTACATACAATCTTTAAGTAGATCGGAAATAATATTATGTACAAAAAGAACATCCATTGATATGGGTTCTTATTATTGGAAAGATTTTAAAAATGGAACGATGTAAAAAGTTCCTTAAGGTTAACGCAAGTCTTAGATTTTTATTATCAATTGTATTTAAAAATGTCTACTTTGAGAATCCTTATAAAATAAATAATAGTTTAAAAAAACTAAAAAACACGCTTTTAAAGCACATAAATTAGGAATTATTTTTCACTTTTTAGTTTGATGTGCTTTAAAAGCGTGTTTTTTAATTTTTTTTAACTATTATTTATTTTTTAGTTAATTTCGTTTTTTCTTTTTTTTTTCGGATTATTGCATTGTTATCGATCTTTGACAGGTGCGCAATGCTTGAATTAAATCTGTCCGTTAAAAGTGGGTTAAAATCGAGTCCGAAGGAGTCGGTTACATACATACATGCATACATACAGGTGAAGCTAATATAAAGCGTGTAAAAACCTTAAAGTAGAGTTCACTGGAGTAATACAAGTATTTTTAATGAACTTCAATTCCAAACAAAGTTATAATTCGACATCCTATTTTAATGGTTCAAGACTACTTCATCTTATGATGTTTAAAAAATATAATTAAACTAGCAGACTCGGCCAAGCTTTGTTGTGGCTAAAGTTTTTGTTATATTACATAGTAGTAAACTATTCAAGGGAAACGGTAGGAGAACACCAGTCATGGGGACCATGCTTTTTTGGTGGTTATGCCATTAAATTGTAGCTTATGTGAAACGTTGGTACTTTCAACAGAAAGATGGCGCTCTGTTAGAATTGTGACTGTCAAATAATAAACAAATAATTTGCATTAGAATAATATTACGGGTATATATGAAGATGTAAGCTTAAGTATCTTTTAATTTAGTTCAAACTGCCCACGGTGTGCTAATTTGATTGAAATCGGTTAAGTAGTTTAGGAGTCCATAGCGGACAAACAACGTGAGACGTAATTTATATATATTAAGATTAGGTGATGATTACGTATTTATTTTCTACGTGGGCAAGTAGTAGTACATGCAATTCTAGTTTTGAAATATTTAAATTAATAAAATACAATTAAAAATTTATTCTGTCAGCTACAAAGATCGAACTAATCTTGAACGAGACGAAATACATATTAAACATTTTACTTGTTCATTGCATCATTTAAACTTTCTCTAATAACATACCGTGGTATGTTACGTATATGAACAAGAGTTGGCTGTACAAAACGTAATTTCAACTAAAAGCTACAACAGGTGGAGGCTTGACAAAGCGGTGATTACGTCATCATTTCAGTGACCGGACCGAATGGACAAGAAAAGCCCGTGTCCAAATTACAGCGCGTTTCGAATAAACGCTATTTTACTATGTATTCTGTGTTCACTCCCACGGGAACGCTTCAAATGGGAAACGGGAGATGTCAAGCCATTTGTGGCCTCTCATTATAGTCCTAGCTGTATGTGTGGGTAGAAAGTGAATAATTACACTCTCTCTTATTTAAATTTATAATGTTTTACCTACTTATTTGTGCTAAGTATGGTGTAGACCCTTTGTTTGACTTTTATTCATTAAAATTATCTTAATATGAAAAACCAATTCAAAAAATTTCATATCTATATATGAAATTTTCAACTAAATATTGTAATTCTATAATTACAATATTTAGTTACAAATTCATATGGAACATAATCTGTTATAAGTATAAAGAAATATGTTATAAGGATAAAGCGACCTACAGTTTTAACAGATAATTAGGATTTGTTTCTTCAGGGTCGCATAGTTCATATTCAATAATAATTTATTTATAATGTATTACAGTCAATTGGAATTTCAGTTCAAAGAAGAAACTTCATTAGTTTAATTATGAATATTTTACAATTATCGTTTATTTTGTTTTAATTTAAACACGTCATCAATGTTGGCCAAATTTTAAACACCAAATAAATGAGATTAGATCTAAAAATGGGATTACAATTTCCGTAAACAATAATTCATTGCTCAAATAAGCAACGCAGAAATTATTTCATTTTTATGAGGCTCAATAAAAACGTAATGTCGTAACTCTGTGACTGTATAGAAAGTATATTCGAGTGTTAAAATCTTTCATAAAACTTGCCCTTTTCTTGTATATTAATTTATGGTATGCTGATACATTTAAGTTTAATTCTTTAAAGTAGGTCTAAATAACGGAACAATATCGTTTATATTAAAAACAGCAACGAGGATGACATGTTTTGAAGGGATTTAATTTCACCTATATGGAATGAAGTCAAATTCTATTTAATAGACCGCTTTAATTTGCCTTTCACCCGATCGTCTTGGTCTCATATTAAGAAATAATGGTTAGCTTTTTAAGTAAAAGCGAAAAATATAGTTATATTTTATTTTAAATCTAAATAATACATACCTTCTGCAAATTTTTCTTCGTTCTTTCAAGTTACATACCATAAACAAGTTATTATACCATGTCTTTATACCGCCAACTGTTTTGAATTCTCAAATAATTGAATGAATTATTAAGACGGAATCACTGTTTCTTTACTTTCTACGCGATTTAATTTATATTTTAGTATTAAATTCACTCATTTTAGGTAATTTAAAATGTATTGAATATAAGATGGTTTTTTCAGGGCAAATCATTCGGGAATTTTTATATACATGTACCTATATAATATTTTGCTAAAAAAAATGATTAAACATCTCGCATTTATTTTTTGAGGCTAAAATAGGATATCCTAAATAAGGTTTTCATTAGTATTCAAGAAAAGTTAAAAAAGTTCGATACTTTTTTAGTTCAGTTTCGTTTCAGTGTGTTCTTTGAATAAATTATTTCGAAGGGCAAGCGTTATTTTAAATTAAGTTTATTTTTCTAATCTTATTAGGTTTAATGTTTTTTTCTTGAATATTGAGTATTTATTAGATGATGGAATTATATTTATCATAAGAACGTAAACAAAGATAATTTGTCATCTTGTAATTGTTGTCTAATTGGTATCAATCAAATGTTCACCTACAATTAATCCTAAATTATCATTAAAATACCAGTAGTAATTAAACTATCCGTAGACAAATTGTAGAACTTGGCATTTTTTTATATTCCAATGCCTTCGACGTACAACTCATGTTCTATGATTTACAATAACAATTATATTTTTAATAATACCATTATAGTCGATAATTAGACTTAAAAGTCCATAAGTCATTATGATGAAAGGCCAGGGGTGAAGTTGGGTTCTTTCATTACTCAGTTATATGTTCCTAAATAGTCCTGTTTATATGGACAAAAAATTGTGTTTAAAAGTAGTAGGCCTGGCAAAACATTGTTTACTACGACCGCCTCCATGCCTTGTAAATAACAAACAAACAAATACTTGCTACTATATTCTCCAAAAATACTATCGAGATTTTAATATATTTAATATCTCACCTCGGTCTAGAAGCCTGTGTATAGTACCGGTCAAGCTCTTGCAGCATACGGAGTGCATCCGCCATATCATGAGGGCCCTCCTCCCTGGCCTCGATGCAGGCAGCTACCACCAAAACTCCCAACGCAAATAGGAACCTCTTGCTCAACATTGTGTCTGAAATAAATTATGTTTGTGTATATGATATTAATAACATAGTGCTATTAGCTATTTGGTTTCTGGCACGTTTTTCGAAGTATTCATTTGGCTAATATATCTTTAGTATTGTCTTTTATTAACATAACTTTTACACATTTAAAGAAAACACTTTACACTTGACGTCACCATGACCACGCATGCTGTAAAGCAAGCGAAACGTCGGTTTTTTTTAAATTATGTAAAATAATTATAAGTTTATAATACAGTAGAACCTCTATAAGTCGAACATCAAGGGAGACGCCAAAAAATTCGAGTTATAGAGTTTTCAACTTATGGAGGATTTCGACTTAGGCGGATTTTGATTCGACATAAAGAGTTTGAGGTTTATTCTTATAAATTGAACACCTGACACAAAGCAAGCAAACACGTGTTTCCATGAGTCATAAATTTATTATTGTATACTCCTAAAATGTTTTCTAAGAAACAATAGTGTACTCACATTGGCGGCAAGTTCTTAAAGTCGGTAACTTATTTTTGTTCGAACAATAGAGATAATAAATTCCAAATGAATAAGTTGTAAAGGTTGTAAAATAAAACGTTCTTATGTTCGAGATACAGAGGTAAAATTTAATTTTTCGAGTTATAGAGTGAAAATATGTACCAAAATGGCTTGGAGGGACTCGGTGATTATTTCGATTAACAGAGGGTCAAGATTTCAAGTAATGGAGGTTTTGGTGTTTTAAGGGAAGGGAACAAAACATTTTTTCGAGATTTGGAGGTTTTTGACTTATCGAGGTTCGACTTAACGAGGTTCTACTGTAGTACATAACTTCTATCCGGTATAAAAGTGTTTTCTTTAATATATATTTGTATAATTTTGTTAACTCAAAGATTTCTTTACAATATTTTATAAGGATGGTTATTCTAAGTATTGCATTGTGGTTCAATAGATAAAACATAGTGCATATAACTCCTTGTTCGATATTAGACGAAATAGTTTCTTAGTGTCGGTTGACCCTTAAGAGGCAAACGAAAAGATGTGCGCGGCGGTAGGTACATGTAATAACCACGATCAATATAAGAAGTAAAAAGTTAACATAGGCTATGAATTGCTTTATATATCTTCATATTATCTACTAAATACGACTTAAATTGCCTACACTAATTTTATTTTTCATAAAATTGTGATGCTATGCTCTCTTACGATACTTTTCATATATACTAAAAAAACTCACAACGCGATACTATGTTTTTTTAAATAAAAAATCAGCTTAGCTGGATTAAAATTGTATCGCAGACAATGCATTGGTAATTTTGTTTTAAATATCTTTATTATAATAATTAACCATAAGATACATCACAAATCCAAGATATATTACACAAAAATATATACAACTTATAATTATAGAAGTGTCCTTGAATTGTTTTACCGCTAAGATTGTTTATAAAAGTTTGAGTAACACAACTAAAATAAAAAGAAATACATACACAAAAGACAAAACAATTATAACAACGGATTTAAACGATCTTAACACTCGTGGTAGTATTATTTAATCATAGCCAAAAATTGTTTGTAAATGTTACATTTTCTCCTTGAATGTAAATGTTACAAACTTAATTGTTAACTAAGTTAAAACATGTCATACACACATGTTTCAAAAGGTCTTACTTGAAGACCAGTGGATATCCAATGTGGTTTTACTATGTTAAATGAATTCGTAATATATTTCCAAAAAAACATTTCCTTATCCAATTACAACCCTTTATACTATTGGCTTCTATATTTAAAAAATGCAGCTAATTAATCTGTAAGCTTCACTCTTCATTTAAAAATAGATAACATCTTCGAGTCATTTTAACTTTTGAAGTAATGAAACATTTTTAAAATCTTAAAGTTTGCCAATTAGAAGATTTTAATTAAAACATTCCATTCGTTACAGAATAACTAAAGTTATGAAACAATAAAACAACGCTTCAGTTTGATTTGTTTTGTTTTTAAAAAGATATTTTATTTTAAAAATATTTTATCCTTGACATTCCATTTATATTTTTGTATTGTACATGCATTCTTCTTTTGTTAATTGTGACTGATGTTAAGCCTATACGATCTTTTAAATATATTTTAGCAATGTTAAGGCTGGTCAATCAATTAGTGTCAAAGTCTAATCTAAACCTTTTCAAGAATTAATAGTTACGAAGCTTAAAAATCAACATAGGCGCATAGACGCTAAAATTGTCTTCGTCTTAAGTTTCTATTAATTTTTAATCTTTTGTAGCTTCGAGTCTTCTTTTAAGTTCTCATTAACTTTAAACTTAGTTATAAATTATGTAAGTTAAAGACTAGATTTCCTTAAGCTTTTAAGCCTAAACAAAATTAACTATACTTAACAACGGTAGTTAAGTTATTACTTATTTTACCTCACAATTTAATACCTTGTTTCTACTTTCGTGGAATACAAAATAAGTGCAACTATTTTGTCAACGCAATGTGTTCATCCTTGAAAAATCTTAGACATTAGATCGCCTACTTTAGACACTCATTAACTGAACGACCATCACGTTACATTGTTAAAATATATTATAATGTTTTTAAATATAGGCTTCATATCAGTCATAATTAAGAAAAGAAGAATGCAAGTACATTACATAAATAATACTTAAATTAAGACAATAAGGATTTGTTATGTTATGTATTACAAGAAATATTAACAGAAGTCAAAACGATAGTGCGTTTCGTTTCATTGTGATTGGTCAGTATCTGTGACTATACTCGTAGATAGATTAGACATGCTCTTCAAATAATACGATGACATGTGGGAGGGCGGGACATTAGACATAAAACATTGTCTATATATAAAACAGAACACATTTTTATGGTTGTGAAAATGTTAATTCATAGATTATATAACATTTGAGATACGTCTCTCGTAGGTTTTACTAGTCGAAACCATAGGTACTAGTTATATCAATTCCAAATAATTTTTCCTCTTAAAAGATGTGGGTGTAATATTGAGATATTTCTTTCGACTATCGACGGATTTAATTGAAAATCACCGAACCAGTTAATAAGGGTTCATGACTATTAAGATTTGAATTATATTTCCAATATAATATTCAAGTATTTATGGTGAACTCTGAATTTTGTTGATGATAATATTAAAATATAACACAACCTACAGACTTCTTTTGTGCTGAGAATTGTTTTGTTTACCTATTATGATATGTAAAGTGCGGAAAAAGTTGTCATAATTCAATTAGGACCAAGATTTTTTATTTCAATTCAACATAATTATGTTTTAAATATGTTTAAATAAACTTAACGTAAAATTCACTTGTTAATGAACGTGAAAACATTTAAACAAATCCAGTAGGTACGTAAGAGTTTTATTGTTATGACCTTAGCACGGTCAAATAAGAGTAGCAAATTCGTAAGCAACAGTCGGAACAGGGGAAAACGTTATAAATTTGACTTTAATGGCATAGTCTTTAGAATTGGATTGCTAAAACAATATACGTTTCGAGCAGACGAGTAATTAAAACGTATTAATAAACTTAATAATAAAAAATCTCTACTTTAGTCAAGAAATAATGATAAGTTATATCATGATAATTTTATGAGAAAGCCCGTATGAATTAATAAAAAATGCCAATGCTGAGAGCATAAGAGAAATTTAAAATGGTCACTGTCAATACCTTCGTGTCCCTTTGGATTTGGGGTAATAAAAAACAAAAAATCGAGACGTCCCGAGAGTTTATCAATCAAATGTATTCCATATTTTCGCTGATGGAAAACGTAAAATGTTATATGTACGAACCTACAACCTCTCAATGCGGATATACGATATTGAATTCCCTTTGTTTTTTTAGACGAAATGAAACGATCCAGTTTGATCAAGATCTCTCAATAGTCTACGATTTTTAATTTAAAATTTAAAATTAATGTATTTTTAAGACTATAATTATATTGTAAACTGATTAAATTAAAGTTCCCCAGAATCTTAAGGACTTGCTGTTGCTAATCACTCACCATAAGGCGCGGCAAGAAGCTACATTCATCGCAACAAAATAAAGGTAGGTACAGATAAAAACAGTAGATAGCTTGGTACCTAAATGTTCTATTTTATCAAATACGAATATTTATCTTAAACTAGTAGACGCGATTAGAATTAGTATACGCGATGAAACAAATGATTCACTCTATTCATTGTTCTTCAAGTAACTAGTTTACTTTATAACAGTATTTGAGATAATAAGAATTGTCGGCGATAGCAGGTTTTTGCACTGGCTACTTATTTTGATTCAAGGTTTTGCAATGGCTTAGTTAACACATACGTTAAGGGACTTCAAACAATAATCTCAGAGCAATACATATATAATTCGAAGTTAATAACAACAACGATTTGTACACGTATTAAACCCAAACCTAAATACGGAGGCCTACAACGCCAGCTGCGAATAAATGTCTCAATATCGATTGACATATAAAATTAATATTTCATTAACAATCTTTCGTATAAAATATCTAGAATTAATAAGACTGGTAAACGTTTTCATTTACATATGGAGCAATTACGTCTAGTATTTCAAATATATATCTAGGTATCAATGTACAGGATATGTGAATTTTTAGCTTGATACTAAGTGTTAAATAAAAATATCTGTCTAATGTATGCCTTAACTTTTTACTAGTGAAATCCATCATGATGTATGGAAAAATCTCATTTCTATATGTGCTTTATTGATAATTTTCCCTTTTAGGAATCCAATAACCAGCTCTCTGTACCTTCCCGAAACTATTTTGCAGAAAATCTGAAACCCTGAACCATTACATACAAGTACATGAATTTAAAGTATTTGCTACTGGGTCAGGACGGTTATATAAATTCGCTTATTACCCATGACCCATTGATCAATCCTTTTTGGTATGAGAATAGAATTCATAACTAATGAAGCGAAACTATTTCTTGTCGGCAATATCTCTTATGGTTATATTATTATACATGGTTATATTTC